TATAATAATATAATAATAATAATAATAATAATAATAATAATAATAATAATAATAATAATAATAATAATAATAATAATAATAATAATAATAAACAATTAATAGTAATAATAATAACAACAATAATAATAATAGTACTGATAACTTGCCATATGAGTAATGTGTTATCATAAAGCATTATTTACTTGTTATCACAATGATTTATGTGTTTCGATAAATGCTTTTTCATTACAAAAGAAAAAAATATAATGAAATCCAAATTTAAATTCAATTCTCCCTTTCTTTCCATCCATCCGAAATAAATCAAATTGATATTAAAAAGAAGCAAAATTACTTCACCATTCAATTCCCAATATATTCATTCCATTTTCGGCAATTAATTTATACAGTTCTTTATCATCATAATGCTTCTTAAATTATCACCATAAATTCCTGAAATTACTCAATTATCAGGAATTTCTAGGAATAGGAATTACTATTAATAGTTTTAAAATTGTATCACACTTTCGCCTGTCTATCATTTATCAATAAGTTCAATTCGATATGATGGGAAAGTAATTTTTAATTCAAAAATTACGATGCTTTATGATTTGTTAGCAAAATGAATAATTCTGGTAAAATTAAAATTTCCGAGCAAAAAAGAAAAAATTCATACTATTCAAAAAAAACTAAAAAATTTAATATTTAAAAAAAATTGCGAAAAAAAAGTGGTTTACAATAACAAAATTATAGGGAAAATTCATCATTACATTTGTTACATTTTTGTTTTCTTTTTCCCCTCCTTTTCATTATATTAACAAAGATAAAATGTAATCCAACAATAAAAAAGAAAATTTTTAATTACAAATAATTAAATAGTGAAGAAAAATTTTGCAAGCAAAAAGATAAATGAATAAATCATTTGGGTGTAGTAAAAGTAAGCAATCGATGGATGAATGCAGCAAAGGGAATGAAATTTTAAAATAAAATTCATGAAATTTCTTCTTAAAAAATTCTACTTAATTCAAAAAAAAAGAAAATTTAATTATCATTTGTGAAGAATTGTTTTATTTGGATGCAATTAGCAAGCTATGGGATGAAATTTTCAAAATTCATCGTTTACAATCGATTGAAATGTGACGAATTTACAGCAATAACAAAGCACAGATATAATAAATTTCATAATATACATATAAGTCATTTCCGGAAAGAATAGACATTCCGGAATTCCAAAATATAAAGAAGCTATAGGATATTTTAGCCTCCTAACTGATTGATGGTTAGTAATGTAAACCATATCCATGTAAATCGATACACATTCATATTATTATTAGATGAAACAGAAATCCTGATAGCATAGTTGTTCCGGAATTCTGGAAACTTTTAACTTTTTCACTATTTTGATATGGCGATAGAGAAAATGAATTGGATGAACAAGGGAAAACGAAGAAATATTTATAATGGTATGCAAAAACATACTCCAAAAGATATGTTAAATATTTGATTTATATCAGTAGAAGGAAAGAAGAAAGGAAAAAATTCCTTATCAATTCTTATCAATGCAAAGATTAGCTTTATCTTATTATTGTCTATAATATTAGCAATAAAAACATAATAGTTTTATGGAAATTTCGAAAATTTTTCTTCCTCAAAAAACTTGATCAAAAAGAAAATGAAAATCGCATGGAAAATTCCAAAATATCATATATTCAAAAATAAAAATAATACAAAAAAATCTGCTCAAACATTATAAATTTTAAAGTTTTAATAATTTCAATGATAATTTTATATAAATTTGATTATTTCTTTTTAAGCATATAATATGATTCTTGTACATTTTTAAACTAAATATATTTGTGCAATTATTATCGACCACATAATTTTTTCATTGTCTTTTTACTGCGAATTCTATTACAACAATAGTAATTATTTTAATCAAATATGCTATTAAAATCGATTTAAATCAATTATTCCAAATTAATTCAATTTTATTCCCAAATGATATTAAAATATTTTCAAGTTTCATTTCAAATATATGGATTTGATAGAAAATTTTAAAATTAATGTAATTATCATCATTATTATTATCCTCAATTATGATCATAATCACAATCATCCATGATCACAATTACAATCATTATCAATTAGTCAGCTTGTTCTAATGGAACAAATGGTGTATGTCCATTATCTTCTCGATCTTTATCATGATATAAATTGCGCTCTTTCTTGTATTCACGATATGGTCGCCTATTTTTTCGAGCAAAAAATATGCGATCATGATCCTATAAAATGTAATTTACCAAAAAATATATAATATTTATATATCTAGTACAATTTGTTGAATTTAAAATTTAAAATTAAGATTTAAAAATTTAAACTTCGCCATCATCTTCATTATCATTATCTTCCACTCCACATGATTCAGCACCAAATGATCGTAAATCTTTCGCATTATCTTTCCATTCTACCAATTTCATATATTTATATTCCAAACTAAAATTAATAATAAATTACTCCAAATAAAATTTTGAAATAATTTTAAATTCGAAATTTAAAATTTTTTAATTACACATAAACTTACTATGAATGAAAATATTTCCTTAATTGTTTAAATTGTTGACGAAGACTTAAAAGCAACCTTTTGTTCTTACGATAAGCCATAACAATGATAACACATAATATAATAAGAGTTAAAATAATGCCAAAAATAAGCATTTGTAATCGTAATGTAATTGTTGTACAATGCTCCTTTCGTTCCATTTTTATCATCTCCGTTGAAATACAATAACTTCAAGTAATTTAAATTAATTTATTTAAATTTAAACATAAATTATGTTCAAATTTTAGGAAAAAAAAAATTTAGCCTAATAAATGTTTACCTTGCCGGTATACTATGAACTGATTGCATTCCATTAATGCATTCACCTTTAATTATACTGTAATCTTGATCAGTACAAATAGGACAAGCATGTAATGAATAAATGATAATATGATACAAACAACCATCACAAGTACCATCCGGACAATTACTTGGTAGTTTTACCTGATAAAAGAAAAAAGAAAAAGAAAGGAAGAAAATAAAAAATTTTCAAAGAAATTACTGATGTTTACAAGTTTAACAAAAAATTAAATTTAATCAAATTAAACAAAAAAAACTTAAATTGAAATAGACAATTTCTGGGGAAAACAGAACTGCAATTAATGATGTTTTAATTAGATAAGATAAATTTTCATAAGGAAAATACCAATTGAAATATTTGTAATCTAATTTAAAATTGAAATAAAAAATGTTTAATTAATCTTCTAAAATAAACAAAAGAAAAACATCAATTGGAATAATTGAAATCTAATTAAAAATCAAAAATTGAAATATTCCTTACCAATGGTTCGGTAACTTGTCGTGGATCACATTTTAATGTAACAGCAGTATATACCCCATGCTGGCAAAGTTGTGTTGGTGGCCCAGATGAGCCAAAGAAAAAATGTATATCTGGTGATTTATTACTTGTATTGTTATCATTAGCTGAAAAAAAAAACAAACTATTCGATTATCAAGTTGTAGTTTAATTATTCTAATATAAATTTAATTTCTTTTAAAATACATTGAAAAATTATTAGACAAAACCATTGATATCAGCTTCTTCTCGATCAGTTAATTTGACATATTCATTCAATTCTCTTTCAGATGTTATAGCCAAAATTTTGTCACCAATTCTAATAAAAAAAAAAAAAATAAAATTTGTTTACTAATATAGTACTTCCAA